TTCCATAAGGTCTGATGACATCGCTTCCTCCTAATTTTATACTTAAGGGGAGGGTATATTTTGGTTTTGAAATTCTTTAGTCTGTGAATAAATTTGAACCGGACCTGCCATTACATCAGCATGTATGGATGCCAAAGTACAAATTGTGTACTTTCAGTGTGGGGAAAATCATACAGTTGTGTATGTCATTAAGAAAATGCCACATCATGATCGTAGCCTTTCTTAATCAGCGGGGAACATGTTGTATGCTTCATAAACAGCACTAGTTAATGTGTCGAGATGGCATGGCCGACAACACGAAAATCCACAAATCGGAAGTCAGGGACGACGAACCTGGTCGGACAACTTTTACTGACGTGTAAGAGCATACAGGAGGCCAGGTAAGCAGTTGCCTCAAGCTGCCTCTCCAGGCAGTTGTGTCTGTGCCCGCTGTTGAGGTTATTAAACCCATGCGCGTGTGTGCACCTTCGCTCTCGGTTGGTGCCCGTCAACCAATCAGAGAACGGGGGCCGCGTTGATGGCCTTGAGATCTCACATGGCGGCTGACAAGCCCCGCGCGGTCGCAGCAGCGAATCGACAGGGAGTGTGAGGCGGACAGGTGGGCAATATGACAAAGCGGCGGAGAGCAAGGAGGAGCGGACCGCCACAAATATACCCCTAGGATGTCGTATGAATGGCCACCTCACAGTCTTAAAATGTGACATAACCGCAAACGTTTTTAAACCGAAAGATGACATTTATTCAAGTAAAAACGCTTGAAATGACGTAAATGAATACGAAATGTTTTCTGCAAAATATATTTAAATTTATACGGCTATCGAAAATCCCTAAGGAGAATATGTACACCCTGAGTGGTGATTTTGTGTCTGATGTGTTTTTTTCAGACTGTCATAATGCAACATCGTGACGTGTCTAAGTACCTTGGCGTAATGCTGCACGATTATCAGTCGTAGAACCTCAATTAAGTAATTCTTTTTAATCGACGGCGCATTTAAGAATTTCGATAGGCCGGCTTCTATAAGTAGTCATAATTAAACATTTCGGAATTGCAGTTGACATTCCATGAGGCAAGCCAACTGTTGTATCGCTGTTCGTTTAAACAGCATGGACTTCGCGAATAGCCGCTGGACTAAGCCATGCGGAACGTGAAATTAAGGACTCCTAATCTATGGAATCTATTCACCTCCTCTAAAATGCATTTGACTGGGGAGAATGAGCGTTTCGAAGTGAGAGCAAGAAGAGGCAGAAGAGAAAAAAATAGTCCTAATTCGAAGCCGCCAGAATTCTTTATTTCTGATAAATGACTCTCGCAAGTCTAAAAGAACCTCCCTAGTCTCTCAGAATGACGCACGACAGAAATTCAAATTGCGCGCGGTTTGCACAGAAACGCAAAATGCGCAGTTGAAAAGCAGGGAAATGCATACCGGGGTGAGCAACATAATGCCTCGAAAGCATAATGGCGGATCTGAACGGGTTGAATTAATTTGCAGTGTAAGAAATGTTTACGTGGATCTGAATAAATTTCCGAATAAAACAAAATATGGAAAAAAGAAAATTAACTTTTTTTTAATGGTTTGTTAAGTGGCCTGTCGCCTGATGCCAAAATATAAGTCCAACCATTCAGGAAAGGGGGAAACGGCCCCATCCCCATCTCATCCAATCGAGCGAGTCGACGTAAGTCAGGAACCAGTCTCCCAGCTGAAACCCCAGGACGGTCCGCCTACTACAGTGGCGATTTTAAGGTGTCAGCATTGCGCGGCATCCTTAGAAATAAACATAAAAACTGACAATCTGCCTGGAAGTGGAAGTGGACAGGAAAAACAAGCACTCGAATCTGCACTCATCTTGCATAGTAAATTAACGGTCGGCCAGCGAAAAAGCGCGTCTTATCTCCAGAACATTTAGTGCATAGAAAATCGATTTTAGACACAAGTTATTCGAAGATACCTAGCAATTTGCTTTATCGTTTGCAAAATAAGCTAGGGAAGCATGCTGGATGAGCAAAAATCGTTTCACATGTTTCGCATGCGCTGTTTGGACCATAGTCCAGCTGAGTTACTCCACGTTAGCGATTAATTTCCGCCGGGATTATAAATCTGAAAATAAGGAACGGGTTCCTTTTCTTTTGGCTAATGTAGACCTAGTTTTTTTTTTATTTCACTTGCACAACAGAAGGAAACAGTTTATATTAAGAGTCTTCCCGGGCGGCCCATTTAGTGCTCATCCTGTTTTTAAGTGGCTTATTGGCGTATGGTAATCAAAGATTAAAATTCAAAGAAACGTTAGGATCACCCTTATAGAGGTAAGGTGACTTAATGTTCAGATACTACCAGATTACACACTTAAAAACTAATGATATACTGACCTGGGGACTTTTTTCTTAAAAGTATTATCACGTTTAAGACATAAAATGCATAAATCCCGAAGGAATTATTGGGATCAAGATTCAAATGCTATGGACAATTTAGCCGTTTTCGTCAACAACACAATCAAGAGCATAATGTACATGCGAAAAATTTTTCATGAATAATATTCAAACCTGTTCAATCTCTCTAGATATTTGTTCGCCAACTTGAAGCAGATCATTCCAAATGAAGCTTTGCAGATTCAGCCGAAAAGTTGATATGGATCTTTAGGCCAAATTCCACCAGCTTCGGCTGAATAACGGTTGTATACACGTGTCGCATGAGTTGCTATACTACTTTTAATGGATTACAGCCCAAATATCCTTGTTAACATTTAGACTGAGCTTATAGTACGTTATTCAGAATGATATGTTCCGGGGTCACTCATCAGTTTGTGAGGACGTCAATACTCTAAGAGGCCGACAAATGAGCTGAAACCCCTTTAAACTGTGTAACATAGCGGCAGAATATCGCTGAAACAGGTGCTTCGGCTTTTAGTTAGTACCTCTACTGTTACTTTGGAAATTCATGCGACAGTTTCTTTTTCCAACGACTTCTATATCACGTACCTCAATACAGTAGGTGGGCAAACTCATGAAATGTCAATCGAAATTTCGAAATGCGTTCTCGTTTCGAAAATATTAATTAAATAGGGTTGTAAAACTAATCATCATGCAGCATAATTCTGTAACGATCCATTTGCCTCACGGTGTCGGATTTCGAATGTGCTTATTTCCGACTGCATGCAGGAACTATGCTCTGTAAAAATCACTACTTAAGCAACATGCAATTTTCTCAATGATTTTCGAGGCTCTTGAATATTCAATTATATTTCATAAAAAACATGCATAAAAATAGCCGTTCGGTAGAAATTCCCGTCCTCTTCCAATTTTATACTCGAAAGAAGAGTATAATTTGGTTTCAAAAAAGTTTCTAGTTGTTAGATTTTTTAATACCTTGAAATGGCCGTTCATCAAACGTCATGTATCCGTGTTTACTAATGTTGCTTGTGAAGCTTACGACAGGGTTCAAATCAACTACTTAATTTTATGAACCCTACATGGTCTCCTCTTAATACCGTAGAGAAATATATGGTTTCCCTTACACGGAAAATATACGACTTGTTGTTTTGAAAACCTGAATGCAAGTGTAACAACAGGTCGGTTTCAAAATTATTCGGGAATTAGAAAAGTTTATCAAAGCCAAATTATAATCTTTGATAAAGTGTAAAATCGAAAGAAGACATGATTTTCTACCGAATAATTAAAGGAATTAAATTTCGGGCGTAATGCGCTTCCCACGGCTCGCAGCTGGGAGACATTCACCACCCGAGAGGCAGCAACATATGAGCAGCTACGTTTTCTGCACAGATGTGTTCGCGAAGGACTGACACCGAAGAGCCTACGCTACAAGACTCCAGTGAATACTGAACTTGGTAGAAACGTTGCGCAACGTTTTCGCAAGCAAATGACAAGAGTGTTGATTAACGACTGCCACTTGCGCCTACACAAGTACCGCGCCGTCATTGAACAGAAAAGGACAGAGTGCGCGACATTGTTTGGCGAATTGATTACTGATTCCCTTGGCCGAACAATATCCATCTTGGCAAAAAGGAGACAGGAGTTAAAACGCATGAACCTAGAGCAGAAGTTCGGAAAATTGAAACCCGAATACAAGACGAACAAAAATGTGGTGCACAATCTATCTTCCAGACAGTTAACTGAACAAGAACTGAGAGTGCTGAGTCGTGAAGCCAACTTTAATACGGCAGATGCCAAACCGGCCGAATTTATCGCCGCACTGGAAGCCATGTTGGTAAGAACCAACGCGACCGACGAGGCTAAACACACCGTACGCCAGAAAGTCACCTCCCTACTGCTGACGAACAGGCCCATCAATAATATGTCGCCCGCAGAAATAGAAGCAATGAAGGAATTAAAATTGGACAAAGATATAATAGTGCTGCCAGCCGACAAAGCAAGAGCAACCGTCGTGATGAACCGCGTTGACTACAACGAAAAGGCACAAGCCCTCCTAGACGACCAACAGTCCTACAAGTCCGCGCCTCCCTCGCGAGCCAAATCGATGATTGGTCAACTAACTGGACTCCTGAACCGACTCAAGCGAAACAGTGCCATATCACTAGACGAATGGCGACAGATGAAACCAACGGACACGGCACTGGCCCGGTTTTATGGATTACCCAAAATCCACAAGCCCAATGTTCCCCTTCGACCGATCGTTGCCTTGAAAGGCAGCCCCACTTACAATCTATCCAAGTGGATGGCCCGAAAACTTAACTTTCTCCGAGAAGGCTCAAGAACCTCCATCAATTCGGCCTCGCAATTCCTGGCCGACATCCGAGGAAAAGTTGTCCGACCGGAGCAGATTATGGTGTCCTTTGACGTGGTTTCATTATTCACGTCCATCCCACCGGACCTGGCACGCGACGTTCTTCGCTAACGACTCGAAGAGAATTACGACGAGACGAACAAACCCCTAAAAATCGACCACTTACTGCAACTGTTTGCTTTCTGCCAACAAACCTTCTTCACCTTCAATGGCAGAACATACGAGCAGATCAAAGGAACGCCGATGGGTTCGCCAATATCCAGCCTGGTTGCAGAACTAGTCCTGCAGGAACTGGAAAAAGTCGCCTTCGACCACTATGAACCTGCATTTTGGCGCCGGTACGTGGACGGCACGTTCGTCATAATTGAAAGGAGCAGACTGGCCGACTTCCAAGACCTGCTCAACGGCATCTTCCCAGACATTCAGTTCACAAGGGAAGAAGAGCATGCCGAACAGCTGCCTTTCCTTGACGTTCTCGTCACACGCACACCCAACGGCGAACTCAACACCACGGTGTACAGAAAGGCGACTAACAGGACTCAGATTCTCAACTACCACAGTAATCACCAAATGGCGCATAAACGCAGAGGGTAAAAACGCACTGCAGTGAACCAGAGGGACGAGTACGAAAACTTCGGCATCTTCGGGACCAACTGGTAAGGAATGGATACCCGAACAGCTTCGTCAGCCGCTGCCTCCGCACGCGCCCACGGCGAACAAACGGAGGAGAGCCGCCAACCCTCTGGCACCCTCTGCCATATATAAAGAACGTATCCGAAGCGATGGAACGTATTGCTGGAGAGCTCGGCGTGGGTATCGCTCACCGTCCGACAGCGACCATGCGCAGCAAAATCATGCAAGTGAAGGATCGCCTAGACGTGGGTGAACAATCGGGCGTCGTCTATCAGATCCCATGTCGGGACTGCCCTCGCCACTACACAGGACAAACCGGACGACGACTTAGCTCACGAATAACGGAGCACAAACGGGCGGTCCGGAGAGGCGACCCGTTGTCTCAGATCGCCACTCACACCCTGGAGGAAGGCCACGAATTCAACTTTGCGAGCATGCGGATAGTGGCGCGGGCCAGCAATAAGACAGGACGTGAACTGTTAGAGGCCTGGGTGTCTGGCACCAACTCTATCAACAGGCACGTTGACATACCCCCCTGCTATCACGCGCTCCATTCCCGCGGCCAAGGGGCGAGACCCAATTTCCAGCCAAGGGTGCACGCAGTCACGCCACCGTGAGACGGCGTGGGACGCAACTTATCGCGAATACCACCCGCTGCACTCAAATCTCTCCCCCCCTTCATGGCGCGACTACAAAAACCGCTCATTTGATGTTGCCTTCTCACAGTCTCTGACGATGGCCTCCTGTACGAGACCGAAAGCTCAGACTAATAAACCCACTGTCCCAGAGATCGTGTCTTCATCTTCTTAACAAAGGAATGAATATTTTTATGCATGTTTCCGATGAGATATAGTTGAATTTTCAAGGGCATCAAAATCGATAAGAAAATTGCATGCTACATAAGTAGTCATTTTTTCGGAGTATACTTCTTGCATGCAGTCAGAAGTAAGTTCATTTGAAAGCCGGCACCCTGAGGTAACTGGATCAGTATGATTACTTTTACAACCTCACTTGATTACTCTTTTTGAAACGACAATGCATCTCTAAATTTTGGCTGACATTTCATGAGTTAGCCCACCTAATGTATTTACAGCCTCAACCTACCCCCGCCACCGATTACTCGTTTTTCGATTTTTTGCTTAAACGCTTTCGCCACATTCGACTCTCCGAAGAACTAAGCGGCCTCTTCTGAAGCGTGCTCATAAATTTCGTCCTTCTCAGTTTACAGTGGATAGTAAGAAGGAGAAGAAGGAGAAACGAAAGAGAACGAACGAGGCATGAAATTCTATCAGATTCTGCACAGGCCTTGCGCAATTTTTCCATCCTCATAGCTTAACCGCAATGTTTTACCAAATAAGAGTTTCACATTGCGGACTCTAGGTTTGTCAGAAGTGGGGAAGCTAAGAACTGATGTCGAAACGGTATGTATTAAAAAAAACCTATTTTAGGCCAATTGTCCAGATCTCATAGAATCAAACTTATAAGGGCAATGTTTGGCATAAAGAAGACAGTTCGAGGAGCATAATTCAACCCAGCTATATTCTGGTCAGGAATTTCTCGTTGACTGTAATGAAGCGTTGATTAAACGAATTTCCCATAATCTGTGTCTTGAATGTCTTTCCGACTTAATTGGTCCCAGTAAAAAAATTCCATACAATATAAAATTGTTGCTTTCTTATTGGCTTTAGGAAGGCCAGCATGGCATACCGTGCACATAAAAGATACTAAATATGTCCCCCTCCCAGCGTATTTGGCCAAATCCGTCCACATTCTGCCTGACCCTGGCTGTTTGGCTACATGACGCATCGCCTACCTGCCCAGTTTGTTGACAAATAAAAGTGCACGCCTAATTCTTCCTCCCCTCGAGATGCTTTTGCGGCTGAAAGTGCCAGCTATGTTTACATTGTTATCCTCTGATGGCGGTTATGGGGACGCGGTAGGAACCGCCTTCATCTGCCCGGCAGTAAACGACATTTAGTCAGCAGAAAATGCTGAACTGCATAGCACCTGTCCTGTGCCAAGTAGCAAGTCAACCTGGAATGCAATTCTGTCCCCCTCATCCCCCCCCGTCCCCGGTCCATTTTTTGGGTACTTGCCTAAAGTACATGCTTCTGCTCCTCTCTACGAGGAAATCTCAAAAAGGCACTATCTAGCAAAAGGCAGAAAAATGCAAATTGCGTCGCTGCTGCAGTGAGCAGTCATCACGAGAACTCGCTTTCCGATGAGAGAGTGCGCGCGGATGTTAGCAGTGCATAACATCAACGGCTAGAAAGAAAAAGAGAAGGACGTTCAAGGTCACTTGGTCGGGCAGCCAGTCCCCCGAAAAATGTCCATTGACGAACGGGCAGGCTAATAAGGAAACTCTGATCACAAAGTCGCCCGCGATGGGGGAAAAGAAAAAGGGATAAAACAGTAATTTTGCGCTCCAACTGTTAGTTCTCTTAATCTAATAAATCTTCGGAGAGAACTTCAATTCAAATATGCTTGCACACGTTAGGCTGTGGGGTGTGCAGTAGGACATCTATATTACAGTAGGTAAGCTAACTCATGAAATGTCAACCGAAATTTCAAAATGCGTTTTTGTTTCGAAAAGATTCATAAAATAGCGTTGTAAAACATGCAGCGTAATTTCATATTAATTCGGTTACCTCAGGATGCCAGCCATCGAATGAACTTCTTTCCGGCTGTATGCAAAAACTGGACTCTGTAAAAAATAACTACATAGGCAGCATGCATTTTTCTCATTGATGTTCGACATCCTTTAAAATTCAGTTATATCTCCTGGAGAACATGCATACAAATATTCATTCTTTTGCTCATTCGGTAAAAAAGACCTCTTCTTCCAAGCTTATCCTCGAAGAAGGGGTATAAGTCGGTTTTTAAGAACTTTTCCAATTCCCAAATAATTTTGAGCCCGACTCGCCGATACAATTGAATCCGGGATTTCAGGACTGCAAGTCGTATATTTTCCGCGTACGGAAAACCATATATTTCTCTACGGTATTAAGAGAAGACCATATAGGTTCACAAAACCTGGCAGGGGATTTGAGCCACATTGTTAATTTTACAACCCACTTTGGAAAATGCAAATACATAACGTGTTATGAACGGCCATTTCACGGTAAAAAATCTTGCAATAAGGATCTTTTTACAACCGAATTATGCTCCTTCTTTGAGCATAAAATTGGAAAAAGACATCATATTCTACCAAATGAGCAAAAAAGAAAACATTTATGCATGTTTTTATGAAATATAACTACACTTTTAAGGGTATCAAAAATACATGAGAAAAGTGCATGCTGCATAAGTAGTCATTTATTACAGAATATAGTTTTTACCTGATCACCATCATCATCCTCGTCGTCATCATCATCCCTTTTCTCATAAGCCGCCTAAAAATGGATTTTTAGCAAAAGATCACTACACAGTCTAAAGCTGAATTTAACTACTTCATATAATATCGAGCTTCTAAAATTGCTGCGAGACTTCCAGATAAGTTCGGTGGTAGAAAGAGTATCCATTGAAATGTTGGATTTTCTGCACTGGTTCTATCCAAGAAACAGGATAATATTGTAAGGCATCGCGGTATACAGCTTCTCCTGACGCCTTGCATTAAAAAACTAAGCTCTGACAGCCGGAACATACCGGAGCCGGAACATACAGAAGCTAATCCAATTTCAAAAAATCGTCTTCGTTTTCGACCTGGTACCTGGGGTCCTTCTTAAGCATCAGAAGTTGACAAGTTAAGATCTGCCCCGTTTTCCTTTTCCGTCCAAACCTGCTGAAATGTCTGCTAGAACTGCTGAGTAGCTAGCATCTATCAATGGTCAAAAAGATGACTGGGTGAACAGAAAAAACTCAGTTGTTTGCAGCACCGTATTTCCGGTTGGAGCAAATAACGACTTTTAGACGTGTCCGGGGCTAAGACAAAGAGCTGCTGGGTGCAATAAAAAAACATCCTTCCCCCACGAACAAACCTCGATGACGTCAAAGCGTCGATCCTCACGCCGGTTGCATGCGCCCGTTTAGGGGCAAGCTTCCGACATACTGCTGGCGAACACAGCTATCTGCCTCGTATTCCCTTCTTGACATGCAGTTAGTGGTCTAATAGAAGCGAAGAGACGAGTCCCAGGAAGTAGTCTTTAAGAAGGAGACACGATCGCCGGGACAAGAGCTTTATTAGTCTGAAGTTTCGGATTCCTGCGATCGAACCCATCATCACAGATAAAAGCAGATACGGGTGGTTCATGCACAAGGGGCTCCAGCATTTATAGGATACAGTCGCCATGCTACCGCATACCTACTAACATTCCCGGCTCCCCCTTTATCCGAGATCATCGCGCTTGGGTGCTAATTGTTTGATGGCCGACATTCGCGTCGTTAATTGCTGCAATGTCATCACGTGCGTTGGATGTTGGTGTGATGATTGCTCGACCATCTGACCCACCAACCCTGGAATTGGGAAAGGTGTTCCTCTGTGCGCTACCCGCGTGGCTAAGTACTCCGCCTAGGCGAAGTCTCAGCACCGAGTCATTGCACTTGTTAATGGACTGGGGGCCAGGGAACCCCGACTCAAGCAGCGGTTGTCACATCTTGCGAGAATTTCGACCTCGTCGAAATTTAATGTGTGGCCGGATCTCGTCGAATGAGCCGCAACTTGAGAACTGGCGTCATTTCCCCACACCGCTGCGGCGTGTTCGTCCATTCGCGTTTGGAGTTGTCTTTCGGTTTCTCCGACGTAGTTGCTTTGTCCGCAACTGCACCAGATCCGATAAACGACTCCAGACGTTTCTAGCCGTGGCAGTGGGTCTTTCGGTTTCATTACCTGACGCCTGATGGTTGTCTCCGGTCTGCGTGTGATGGTTGCCTCCTTCTTCAAGTTAATGGTCTTTTGGTTAGGACCTGTGGGTGTATGAACTGTGCCTCAGATCAAGTGCAGTCAAACTGAAAAGGCAGTTTGGGATCAGTGATCATATCCAAAGGTTTCCTTTGCATATGGGTAGGAGAATGTCACCACTAAAACGTTTTTAAGCACTCCGCAGGTCTCTTTATTTCCCAAAATTCGCATGTACTGTTCCACTTGATGTGCAATGAAAGCCATGTATTGTGCGAGTTAACCCACTTGGTCCTTGTGCTTTAAAAACTATTCTCATTCCTTTTTGACTAAGGAAAAACAACTAGACCGCTGGCACGACGCATCAACATCCTGTCCACGAGGCGGTCAGTTTGCGGTGGATTAGGTTGTGCGACTTTGATTGCGACCTAAATGCTGCTGGGTGCTCCAAAGACCTGTTGATGTATCGGTCAGCTGTGTATCGGTGGTTTTTGAAAATTGAAACCTCCTCTAGCAGGATAAACATAGTCCGCTCTGAGACAGTAACGATGCACGGACCGAGAATCATCTGTCATCAGCCCAGTAATGACTGGGTTTTAACGCCTCGACCCCCTAAAGGGTTTTGCACGAACAGGACTACATTAGTCCTAAAAAGAAAAATCCACTAAAGGCATTTACATGCGACTTGTGTGATCATGAAAGAAAATGCTTCATCAATTTACCCCTATAGTTCCTCTTCGAAATCGACAACGGTAACCGCAGCAGGGACACCGACTTTCAATGACAGTCAGACATGGGTGTTCTCGTCTGATCCCCGGTCAAGCTTTACGGCACTACAAAAACAAGAATTTAGAGGGTTTTCCCGACGAACTTTAAGCGGCAGTACGACTATAAATGAGACCGTCGTATTTTTTCCTTACCGGAAATGTTGGCAGGCATTCTGAAATGCGTTTACCATTGGGAAGGATTACTCAGGTACAGCAGCGCATGATATAGGTAGTTCAAGTCCCAGTTGTTCCACACTTCGGGGCTGGGTATGACAGTTTGAGGCAGGGGTGCTTGAAAACCTCCGGATTTCTAGTCTTTCATACAGGCAGTATATTATTACCGACAGAGACAAGGGAGACAGGAATGGCCATTTCTGGCTTATTAACTGGAACGGAACGAGTGAGCTCCGTAAGAACGATCGGTCAGTGCCCCCTACCATTGTATATTCCCGATCGAAACCGACAGGGCAACGGGCTCGTGGCCCAGTGCTTAGAGGCGTGGACTTCTAACTAACAGGTAGCGAGTTCGAGCCTCGGGTGTTCCACACTTCGGGGTTGGATATGGCTAGCTGACGACGGTTAATAAGCCAGAAATGGCCATCCTAGTCTCCAGTGTCTTTGCCAGCAATAATATACTGCCTATATCATGCCCCGCTGTGCGGCTGCTGGTTGGGCTCGAGAGAGCCCTAAGGAGTAACGGAACGAGCGAGTCCCGTAAAAAGGTTGGTGAGCACCCCTCGACCTCAAGAAACTGTCTTTTCTGGTCGGTGATAGGCCGAGACAGAAAGACCGTCTAATCGTACTATTGATCTACCATATGATTGGGGGGAAGGTCAGGGACCAAATTTTATTTACAGTCACTTCGGAAAATGCAAGATGCCTCTGAATCTTCCTGTCTCATAGCAACTCTAATACAGCATGAAGATGATAGAGCAAACAATTCAGGAAGATCCGGAAGCGTCAATCATTCGAAATAAAAAAATCAACCTTGAGAAATAATAAGAATATCAAGCAAACAATCCAGCGTATAATCATGAAATTCGACTTACACACGCTCTTGTATGCGCATTACAAAAGGATTTTCCAAAATCTGCCGTCGTCTTCTGCGCGGCATCCGAGCCGACTAGTTAAGATAGGAGGCCAACATAAACAACAATCACCCGATCAAGGCATGTAGCCGTTTCAAAAACCCCCATAAGGCAATTTAATCGAACGGGCTTCTGTAATGCAGGCTTAGTGTCGGATTTGGCATTCACCGAGCAGATTACGAGACGCCCTATTCCCTTTCTGCCTAGCAGTTTAGTCTAGAACCCTCGCAATCGCAATTGGCAGGACAATGAGTCCATGGTTAACGGATAGGACGTTGGATCTACAGTGCATGACCTATCTCATGAAATGTTGGCTGAAATTCTGAAATGCGTTTTCGATTAGGAAGGATTACTATGTCGCGGTTGTGATACTGATTATTTTAAGGCATACTCTTATAACATTTTAGACTGGGCAGGATGTCGGCTTTAAAATTCATATCTTTTCAATCTCCTGTGGAATGCGTGTTTGGTAAAAAAATGACCACTTAAGTAGCATGCATTTTTCCCATTGATTTTCGATGGTCTTAGAAATTCAAATATATTTTATAGAAACCACAAAGAAAAATGTGCTTTCTTTTAATCAATCAATAGAGAATCACGTCTTCTTTATATTTTATACTTAAGCAAGGAGTATAAATAGGTTACAAAAAAGTTTTCTAATTGCCGAAAAATTTGGAGCCTGATCATTCGTTGCATTAGCGCTTAGTGATTTCACTCTACAAAGTGAATGCGTTCCGAGTAAAGAAAATCCATTTTTTTCTATGTCATTAAAGCAATATTATACAGGGTACATAAAATTTTGCAATGGATGCGGACCATGTTGTGCATTTCATGATTGATTAAAAGAAAGCACATTTTTCTTTGTGGTTTCAATAAAACATATTTCAATTTCCAAGACCATCGAAAACCAATGAGAAAAATGAATGCTACTTCAGTAGTCATTTTTTTACAAAACACGCTTTCCACAGGAGATTGAAAAGATGTGCATTTTAAAGCCGACATCCTGCCCAGTCTAAAATGTTATAAGAGTATGCCTTAAGATAATCAGTATCACAACCGCGACCAAGTAATCCTTCCTACAGTGCCTACCTAGCCATGTCCGCTGCCATCTTTCTGTGCAGCATACGGCATACATCGTCGGCGATAACAACGACTGAATCAGCGAACTCTACACTGAGTTGCATGGCATCACGGGGGGCGATCGGTGAGAGCCCTTCCCACGATAAGATATAAACTTTTCTGCTTGCTAGTTCGGTTTTCCTCAATGTAAAAGCTTGTTTCCATATGGCAAACGCACTCCGTATTTGCTCGTAAAGGGCGATGGTATTTCAGGCATCCCTAAGTGGTGGTTACGATGCATTGATGAAGTGACATACAGTGCAGACGAGATCGCATCCGACAGTGCTACAAAGCCATTACAGCTCAAGGACTGGTTGCCTATTCATGCTTATTTGAATTGCGCTGTGGAAATAAATATTTACCTGTGGATGAAAGACTATCAGGCACACACAAAACCAAGTGCGAGTTAATCCGTTTTAGTACTTGGTTAAATTATTTTAAAAGCCACAGGACAGTATCGACCGCTTTTCCAATGTGGAAACCCCTGATTATTTATGTCGGACATTGTGCTGGTTGATGGCGGCAAACATACGAAGGGGAAACCGGGTTTGCAAAAATCACTAGACCGTGCGGTTAACCTTGCCCCGTTCCGATAACTCTTAATATTTTAATTTGCATGGTAGTCTATGTGTTGTCGTTCGATTATGGTTTTCAGTTTGATTTTTTCAAACGAACGTCGGTCAGATGTGGTTATGTAGTCGCACCTGAGGTAAGTAAACCCCAGCCACCTGTAATACGGGACCGGTGGTAATAGGTGTTTATAATGGTGAGGTCTTGGAACGCACAGGCGACGAGGTCAAGTAATTCTTTGCAAAAAGCTACTGGGATTGCGCGGTTATAAATTGAGTGGTTGAGAAATTGTTGCCTTAACTCCTAACAGTTGTGCCAATAAAACTACTTAAAAAGGTGAGAAATTTGGGTAAATTCTTGACAGGGAAGATACCTGAGAATGTAAATGGGTTTGGAAAACGGGGGATAGACTGTACGCTGTTTCACCAACGCTAGTTAGTTTTTCCTAATGAGCGGATATGAATAATTTTGATGTCAGACATGATGGCATAATTATGTGGGTGATGTAAAATATAAGTAGTAAAAAGGCGATTGCGAGAATGCAAGAAATTTGGATAATAATGGCACGGAACACGACCAGTTTCCGATCAGATGTGGTTATGTAACCACACCTGAGGTAAACAGATCCCAGCCGCCTATAATACGCGACCGGTAGTAATAGGGGCCTTTACAAGTGGGATCGAAGAACACACAGGCGACGAGGTCAAGTAGTTGTATGCAAAAGAAAAGCTATTAGGAATGCGTGGTCATACTTTGAGTGGTTAAGAAATAGTTGCCCTAACCCTAACCTTAGTCTTTTAGCACTAATTCTAACCTTTAACCGCAGCCCTAAACCCTAACCTCTAAGCATCAAACAAGAAAGTTAAAAGTAGACGACAGGCCAGAAGTCAAGAAGGACCAGCGACATTGGGCCGAAAAACGTAGAAACGGCAACAATGAAACAAGGACGCTAACAGAACACACAACAGCACCATGACAACGTAATCACACCAATTCAAAATAATTATGTAGGTCAACGGTATTGTGTCCATCAGGTGCGGCTACATTACTACATATTACCCTAACGTCAAACTACGTCACCGTTTTAGCTGGCTTTTCTGAATAAATTGCTATGTGGTTAAGCTGTGCAGCGAAAGCAAGCGTTTAAAAAGCGGTCGCGAATTTTAGTATTGCGGATTCTACTACACATGCTTATGTTAGGTTAAGCTCGCCTTAAAATTGGTAAAGGCGAAAAGGTTTGCAAGTCCAACTAAGGTTAGAAAATTCCTGAGACGATTTTTGGATTCAGATGTTCGGAAATGCTCAGAGATTACCTACACCAGATTGTCCGTTGATGTAAAAATTAAATTGACTCATCTTTCCTTTTATTAACTGAGGTAACTGCTGTAAATCGTTCTAAAATACGCTACATCATGAATTTCAAAGACGACCTTACGTTCACCACCACTCAGTGAAGCAATGTACGCATGTGAGAAAAAGGACAGGATGCTATCTGAAGAAATATGAAAGGTTTAGGGTTGAGACCTTCAGGTGCATCTCGATTGATAAAGTTGCCTGTTAAAGGCGTGAAACCCATCGTCTAAAATTGCATTTTTCTGCGCATGCTTCTGTAGAATTAAGGCAGCCCTTCTCGCCAATCAACAGGTATGAATTCCTGCAGAAATGAAAATATGCGAAGAGAAGAGACTTCAAGGAAATTGTCGTGGATAGTTGTCAACTCCCATAGGTCAACTTAAAAAACTGCACGCCTCGCCGACGCGAGCGTTTATCATTCCTTAGACGCTATTGGCTGAACTGTCAGCCAATCACCTCATTCGGCAAAGCATGCATTAAAGAGATCAAGGTCCCGTTCATCTTCATAGTCGTACGGGCGCAGCCGACTGCACGTGGTTACCTGTGCCAACAGTGTCTTAGTTGGCAGGCCGTGGTCTTACCGCTGTCGGTAAAAAAAAGCCGATAACATGTACTCGGGCGGACGCACTCCAAGTCTCCACGGCCAGCGTCCGCCTTATTCCCTCTTCTTTCCTTTTCTACTTGCTCTCACAATCTCCGCCCGTACGGCTAAGGGGGACACGCAATCCGAAAAGTCGCCGAAAACGCTAGATCCCACGTCCGGGGAATCCTCCAATCGTACCAAGACGGAGGTGGATACCTACAAACAACCCTGCACTTTCTACTGTTACCTAACTGCTGGTAATCGGGATGAGGTCAACTGTACTGGCATTCCTGCAGCGCCAACGGTGAATGAATCCGCCAGCATTCCCTGCTATCTTGACACAGTAGAGAGGCAAATTGTAATTGGGAATAAGTCGAGCGTTCGCCGAATCACCCCCGGTGGTCTGAGAGTGCTGGCAAGTCCACACGCTGTCTACCTGCATTCCAGTAAAAATCGGCTGAACTTGTACTTGCGACTAAATATTTTGGAAATGAACGCCACCGCTCTGGAGGGACTGGAGGAGGTACTCCGGCAAATACAAATCTATAATCTACACGACCTGCATCCGGACACTTTCACACATCACACGCGCCTTAGTGCAATCTCCTTTGATACTGCAACGCCTCCTGAATTTCCACGCACGCTCGCAGCGAAATTACCAGAGAATGACTCCAGCCTTCCCATACGACCTTTCTTCCGTCTCTTCCCTGAGGACGCAAGTACACCGTTTGCCTTCAACATGGATGTCAGATGTCACCGCTGCGGGAATGACTCAGAGGTCGGCAGTGGCGAAGATACGGAGGAGGAGGACTTAATTATCATCACCTTCTCCCGGGAGAAGAGACCGAGTACTCCTACCCCTCCCTTGAATGTATTGGACTCTCTGTCACTGATTTACCTCGACAGCTGCCCACGCTTCGAGGGCGGACTGGGTTGTCCCCTGAGGCTAGGCGCAGACAGCCTCAACACAACGCCCCCCGGGGTTGCCCTGTTGCCGTATGTCGTCAGTGAGTTGGCGCCCACGGGTTGGTCTGATGACAAGGTTCCGGCTAACGGCGCGGAGACGGGGGACGCAGAGAATTTGGCCGCGGCCGCCGTCGCCGCTCACAGCAGCGCTCTGACTACATTCCTTGTCGTCTGGTGTTCCCTAATCACCATCGTCCTGCTCTGTGTCTGTGTGGTCCTATTCATTCGCCGGCGCCGCCTCTTCTCTCCAAAGTCCCGGAAGAGCTACACCCTGCGAACACCCGCTGTAAGCACCAAGAGGATCATCAACTACTCGGGCTCCTGTGAGGAGCTGACCTGTCGACAAGCTGCCGCTGCACGAGCCCCTGGTTTTAGCAGCAACTCGGCCTACCAGACGCCATCTCTGCGCTCCTCCAATGTCCTGCTTAACCACCAGTCCGCCGCACTTCGAAGGCCATCGCGCAGCAGTTATGCCGCCGGAGATGGGGATGTTGTCGCCAGCCAGCATTCCAACGGCCACAGTGCTGGTCCGGAAGACGCTGCTGCTGCCATCCTTTCGCCACCGCTGCGCGGACCCAGTTCACTGCGGGGCAGCCGCAACCTGGGCCAGCGCTTCTCTGCCGCTGAATATGATGATGAGGGGACGTTGACGGGAACAAGGGACGCCGCGAAAGGGTACTGGGGCATCTCACAGGGACCGCTGCAGGCCAACGGTGACACCAGGGTCCTGTACTTTGCGGGCGCCGAGTCCACAGTCTCGGACAGTTTGCCACCGCGCTCATCATCCGTGCTGAGATCCGCGGCCACCACCAATGTTGTCCCCACTTACAAGCGCTCGGAAGATGGCATTTTTCAGATGACCTAGGCGATAGTTTGCGTGTAAGACAGATCTTCGAACCCCTACCTACCCAGACCTCTCCTGCCCCCTAGCACATGTACATATTCGCAACCGTAAGTTAGAGCTGTTGCACTTTAAACGCTATTGACTTTTTTATTCTTTAATTTCACAGTGTGCTGACTAGGCAAATGCAAGCACTGACAAGTTTTTTTGGCCTTCGCCTTCATCTAGCCACCTGGACGCCAGCTTGCTAAGCGGGCAGTCTGAATCCACGATCCCCAAATTGTGCTTGATGACCTTACTTTGCCTACACATTGATCCAAGAGACATACAGAAGTCGAACGTCTTTTGTTCAACAGAAACAGTAGGAAGGCGCATGTATCAGCGTCGTCAAAGTGTGCACGGAATCGTGAGCCGACTGTTTTTTTTGAAAAGTTGAGAGGGATGCAGGGAACAGAAACCTGGCCATCGTGTAACATGGTTTTTATAGATGCGACTAAGCGGCAGAAGGGAGAGCGCAATAGTAGATAAAGATTCGGATAAATGTTGAGGGTGTCATATTGGGTCCTCGCGCTAAATCTCTCTACAGCTGCTTGCAAAACCAGCACACGAAACGGGAACCCGATCTCCCAGCAATTACTAGGGTATCAAGATATCCGACAGTGCAAAAAAAAGTTGAGCACTGTTCGCCGTCCTCCCGGTTTCTTTTCATAAGAGAAGTAGATCACATTTCATCTAGTTACGGGAGCGCGGAAACGTCATTTATAGGACGCAGTACAGTGAGTGACAGATCTCATGAAATGGTGCCTGCAATTCTGAAATGCGTTTTCGATTAGGAAGGATTACTTGGTCGCGGTTGTGATACTGATTATCTTAAGGCATACTCTTATAACATTTTGGACTCGGCAGGATGTCGGTTTTTAAATGCACTTCTTTTCAATCTCCTGTAGAAAGCGTGCTCGGTAAAAAATGACTACTTATGTAGCATGTATTTTTCCCATTGATTTTCGATGGTCTTGGAAATTCAAATATATTTTATAGAAAACACAAACAAAAATATGCTTTCTTTTAGTCAATCACTATAAAATTACGTCTTCTTTATATTTTATACTTAAGGAAGGACGATAATTAGGTTTTAAAAAATTTTCTAATTATGAGACTTTTTAAGACCGCGATATATCTATTCACATAGCGTCGTACCTGGCCGTTTACCACTGTTCCTCATGAAATATACAACATGGTCCGCATCCATTGCCCAATTTTATGCACCCAGTATGATATCTCTTTAATGACATAGAAAAATATGGGATTTTCTTTACGCTGAACGCATGCACCTTGTAGAGTATAATCACTAAGCGCTAATGTAAGGAATGATCAGGCTCCACATTTTTCGGCGATAAGAAAACTTTTTTAAAACCTAATTATCCTCCTTCCTTATGTATAAAATATAAAGAAGACGTGATTCTCTATCGATTGACTAAAAGAAAGCACATTTTTCTTTGTGGTTTCTATAAAATATATTTGAATTTCCAAGACCATCGAAAACCAATGGGAAAAATGCATGCTCCTTAAGTAGTCATTTTTTACCGAGCACGCTTTCTACAGGAGATTGAAAAGAAGTGCATTTAAAAGCCGACATCCTGCCGAGTCCAAAATGTTATAAGAGTATGCCTTAAGATAATCAGTATCACAACCGCGACCAAGTACTACTTCCTAATCGAAAACGCATTTCAGAATTTCAGCCAACATTTCATGAGATAGGTCACGCACTGTATGTCACGACAACCTGGTTTTTGTCCTCTGAGTGGGGTTGCATACTGCGGGCCTGCCGAATAACTTTTGTCGGCCGGTCCTTCATGCTTGATCTCTATGCTTTCCATAGAACGACTTTAGTACTTGAACTGATACGTCTTCAGCATTAACTGCCTACGCGCAAAGGCCAATCAAACGTAGCAACTGACCAGACTATCCACTCCGAATGAGAGACTGCACACTAACCTTTCAGCACTTGTTTTCCGCCCATTCTACTGCGTAGTTATTTGCCTCACAGAGAAATGCAACATCCTACATGTTCATGGCCTCGTAGTTCCCCTCGCTCTTTGCGCCTCCTTCGTGGTCGGTGATAGTACCGGCTCATTGTGGTGTCAGTGTTGGTGAACGCGGCAGACACCTAGACGTTATCTTAAGTGTTTTTATTCAATAATGGGGCGAGGATAACCGGACATCCTACCGTTGGCAGTTGGAGTTCTAGTAAAGCCACCCTTGTCCGGTTTTTAAAGGTCTTCGTTCCTTCGTCCACTTTTGTTCGCCTAGGTCGACAAGCAACTTTTTTCTTATGTGCATGTGTGGGGACAAACAAGACACTGAAGAAAGACTCGAACAAGTTAGTTCCAGGAAGCAGTTCAGAAGAAAAATATGCGATCATTGGAACTAAGATTTTATTGGCCTGACGTTTCGGTTTCTCACTCTAACCCCTTCATCAGAGACGGTCGCAGATAAGGGCAGTGGAAGCACAAAGACTGCAGTGCTTATAATAACCATCTGCCGTGGGGCCAAATGCGTACTATAATTAACAGCTCTCGTGATCACCAGTGGGGGTTGTAATTAAGGCAATAATGTCTCGTCAGTCCGGGTCCGAGTCGTTAATTGCCGCAATTTAATAATTCGTGTTGGATGTTGACGTGATGATGACTCAGTGACTTGGCCCACTGTCGCCGTGTTAGTTGACCGCCTGCGCCCTCCTCACGGGACGGATTTCCCTGCTCAGGGGATGTCGCCGAACTGAATATAGTAGCGGGTGATCATTGCGCCCGTTGATGGATTGCGGGCCTGAGAACCATGATTCGAGCAGCTTGCAACTCATGTCGATCGTCAGCTCCTGCGAGGGTTCGGCCTCTTGAAACTTGAAAATATTGTCGGGTTGTGTGAATTTAGCTGCTACCTGAGAGCTGGCGTCTTCCTCTCTCACTGCTGCTGCGTGCTCAGCCATCCACGTCCAGAATAATTTCCCAGTTTTCCGCATGCACTTTCACTGTACGCAACTGAACTAGGTCCGACAAACGACTCCAGGAGTCTCCTGCCGTGGCAGCGGGTCTTTCGTCCTCTTAACACTGAAGTCCCTACGCTGAGCAGTACTCACATCTGTCAAGAAATGACCGGCAAAGATTTTTTATAATGCCTATTCGAAGAAGACGTGAGCTGAAAAGAGAGAGATAACGAGGGGGTGTGAGAGGGAGAAAGCACGAGATTGAGAGCGATGGAGAGTGGGCGGGAGAGAGCGAATGGAGAGCGATATAGAGGGGAACGAAGGGGAGTGGGAGGTTACGAGCGGGCAGGGAGCTGGGCGAGAACAAGAGGTCGAGGTGATGGAGGCAGAAAAGGGGACGACAGAGAGAGGGGGAGGGAGGGCGGGGGAGAAAGTGGGGGAAGGGTGCTAGGGGGCGGAGAGAGAGGAGAGGTAAGAGTGCGAGATGGTGTCTTTGTCATCTTGTGCACGTACTTAGCGGGACATCTTGTTTGCCATTTGCCTAACCATGGAAAACAACTGTCAGCCCATCTACACGCGTGTTATCTATTGTTGTTTCATAATAATGTAACCTCCAAAATCCCTTGACTTTACATCATTGGATAATTTTCCGAATAGCCTTTTTATTCTTTTCTGCCCCCATGCTATGGGAAAGGAGAGTTTTGATTCTGGTTTAGTTGAAAACGATCACTTTCGAGATCTGGTTCACGCGAGTTCTTATAAATCAAATCACCGAGTTTTATTTTTCCTAAAAAATTCAGGCGTAGTTTTAGAGCTTCTCTGTTAACTGGGCAGATTTCAGTTGTCCATTTTAGGCTAAATCGTGGGCCAACAATGTACTTGGGTGAAGGGCCCTGCCTCGTTCTGCTTTGGCCCACATATTTCGCAATCGAAGCACTGCCCACGTCTTTCGGGCTGTAAACTGTTGACACTTTTTAAGCGTCACCATGGTTGCCGGTCTTGTTGTAGAAGTATTCGCATGTGTGCGCGCGCGATTTCACTGCTTTTGGCATGATGGTTAATGCAGGCAAAAGACGACGCTCGGGCAGTTGTGCGTCTGTTTCATGTGCCTGTGTGTGCGTGTGTGTGTACGTATCCTCTTGGACACCCACTTTCTTGCTGTGCGAGTGCACTCACACGTGCGGGCGTCACGCGTATGGCGTACACACCCTTCTTTGGTAAGCTCTAAAAGAGCACAAGGCCGGCCGGGCGGTTGTCCTAGGTAAACGCTCCACTGGATCTAAATAAAGGCAAGCCATGCTGTCACTGGTGCGGTGCGGTTATTCGGTATGTGTCCCCCCCCGGCGGGTGTTTGTGTCCGCACAGCAGTTTGAATGCGCTCGACTTGTTAGCGGTAAAATCGATCAGGGCCCAAGGTCAAGTACGCGTCTCCCGGCGCGAATTTCACCTCCACGCAAGTCCGGCAGCCATTGGAAGTTGGCGCCATTAATCGATTTTATTGATTTCAACTCATTTCGCTGCAGCCTGTCACCTCACCACGTGAACGAGGGCCAGTTAAAAACGCGAATAGTTAATAAGTCGATAGTTGACAATAGGGGGGCTGAACAGTAGGGTTAATATCTGCTGGGGTTGGATTTCGTACCAATTGCTTTACCTGTCTGAGCACGCGTATCCGTGCCAGATTCTCTCAATGTACACGGTGAGTGGGAAGTCGCGCAGTCAGACGCTAGAAAAGCTCATTTTCAACACGCAGTTTCCTGTCTCGCATCCGCGTCGCAGTTCGTGCAGACGCATGGCAAAAATTCACGCATGTATGCGTTAGTTTTGTCACTTAAAATACGGATCTCCGGAAAGAGAAAGAAAACCCCCGGGCGCCTATCGTATATAACGAAAAAAAGACCAGACATCACCGATCATCGTGGCATTGACATAGCCCGTTGATTGCATAAGGGTGGCATCTGTTGTGAAGAAGAAGAAGAAGAAGAAGAAGAAGAAGAAGAAGAAGAAGGCACGATCGCCTGACGTTTCGGATTCCTGCGCT